ATCAAAATAATATAAGATACTTACTATAATTAAAAATAACAATCAGTAAAATAAATAGCAAATAGAGATTTAATTATCAATATTGCATTTTTTACCAACCGTAAAAATGTATTAAGTCACCTCAACTTTTCAATCACCTACCTATCGACGGTTACGCGTAACTCGGCCCCATTTTAGCGACAGACTCGCCAAACGACCGTCACAATAGTAAGAGGTACCGTGAAGAAAATCATTTACCATTTCTATTTTAATTAATTAATTTAATTTACGTAGTTTTAACTTCGGATTTGCGGTTGATCTTGCAGTTGTGGCATCTTTTCTTAAACTTTTTCCAGAAGCTTCACATCTTTCCACGTCACGTCAAATAAATTATGGTTTAATATTTAATAAGTTTTAAATAGATCTACGCATAAATACGTATTTAATGATAAACCGAAACTTATGGCAAATGTTCACATCAGAATCGATCTATTGCTAAGGTTCAAAACCTGCCGATAAGTCATCATTCGATTATCTTCATGTTAATCAACCTTTTTCTACCAATTTTTTGTCAAATATTACCATTCCCTCACTCTTTAGAAAAACGATTACGGAATTACCATGGAGCCGCCAGTCGTGGAGTTACCGTGGTGCCGGATCATCAAGTCCTAACATGTTGTATAGTATGAACTTGTCGTCTTAGTATGCTAATAGAGTAAACATGTGTTCCTTGTCATATAATTTATTTAATATGGATTAATTAATCTACATAATCTAACATTGTGACGATATACGCAGATATAATACATGTACTGTATATATATTAGTGCATTTCATACGAGTTTTTACAGAGTCTCTTCGCGAATATGAAGTTTTTAAGGTTTTCTTTCGAGCTCTATGATTTATTCGTATTATGCTCAGCATTACTCGTTGCAGGCATAATTAACTATTACTACAAGTATTATACGAGAAAAAATCCTTTTCCTGCTCCTTTTCCACTTCCGTTCGTTGGTCATATCTTAGATCAATTTATTGCCGGCAAGAATTTTTACGAACAATGTTATATTACACATTCTAAATATGGGCCCATCTTCGAGCAATGGAATGGAACTAAACGTATTATATTTACTGCCAAACCAGAATATTTGGATAGGCTTTTATCGTCATCAACCAAAAGTAAATATTTGGCTAGAGTTATTGAACCCGAAGGCTTAAAGGATTTAGGAATGTACGGAACTGGTCTTCTATTCAACCATGATCTTGCCAATTGGAGGATTAACAGGCAATTCTTTATTCAGGCAATACAAACGATTGATTTCTTAAGGGAAGCCGTGGATTGTACTCAAGCGGCATTTAATGAGATGAATGAATATAGAGAGTCGACATTGGGAAATGATGCTATAATTGATTTTTCAAAGTTGTCACGTACTATTACCACGGACGTCATATTTCAGATAATCACTGGAAAGAAAGTGTGGGCCACAGCTTCGCATTTTTCAACCATTTCGTCCAGGTCAAAATCAATAAAATTGCAAGAATTAAATGAAGAGAATATTAAAAAAACCCTTAAGATATCACGAGCATTTGAAACTTTTCTCGGAGGTGTAATTTTCTTTGCTGTGTTTCCCAAATGGATAAGAAAATATTTCCCCAATCTTAGAGCGACACAAAATAATATTTTACAGGCACGTGATGACCTGTTTAAAGATTTGAAAGATATTATTCAGGAGAGAAGGAAAGAGATTGAGAATACGCCGAAAGATGAGAAATTAAAATACAATATGTTAACTCTATTGATTACGGCCAACACAGATAG